CACACACACACACACACACACACACACACACACGCACACACACGCGCACACACACACACACGCACACACACACGCACACACCCACACACAATCACACACACACATACAATCACACACACACACACACAATCACACACACAAGTGTCCGCCCCCTGACATGCACCCCCTCCAACCCCAGGTCTACTACCCCTACCTCCTCATGAACAAGAAGCGCTACGCGGGGCTGCTCTGGACCAAGCCCGACAAGTGGGACAAGATGGACTCAAAGGTGGGGGGGGGGAGGCAGCGGGGGGCGGTGCGTGGTTTGGCTGGTTGGGGCCACGGGATGCTTCAGCCACTCGCTCCTGCTTGTGGCGGCGCCAGCTGCCAGTCACGGCGCCGCTTTTGCAGCCGGCGTGCGGCCAATGCAGCACAGAGTTTGGTGCCGCTGCTCCCATCGGGCGGTGTTTGACAGTGCACCTATCCCCGCGCCATCCTGCCCCCTCGTCCCCCCTGCCTCTCCCCCCCCCACAGGGCATTGAGACCGTGCGGCGCGACAACTGTGGCCTGGTGCGGCAGGTGGTGGCCACGTGCCTCGACAAGATCCTCATAGACAGGTAGGGCCGCCGCAGCGCGGAGGGACCCCGGCGCCGTACGACCCGGCGCGGCGCCACCCCGCATGTTTAGATGCGAAAGGGCCTGGGCGCCACCATCCACACACACGGGCGCAGGGTGCCCCTGCCGGCATGGCCCCATCCGCCTGATCTGAACTGCTGTCACCCTCGACTTCCACCCTTTGCGACCTCTTCAAACACTGCAACGTTACCCTTTGCCACCCTCCGCCGACCCTCCTTTGGCCTCCTCCCCCCAATCTCCGCCACCCCCCTACCCCTTCCCCGAACCAAGGGACGAGGGTGCTGCCGTGTCGTACGTGAAGGGCGTCATCAGTGACCTGCTGCAGAACAAGGTGGACATGAGCCTGCTGGTCGTGACAAAGGTGGGGGTACAGGGGGGGGGTGAGGTCGTGCGTGTTTGATGAGGGCCAGAGAGGAGAACGAAGGGCGGGGTGAGTGGTTGGCGGGGAGGCCCTTGTGTGCGTGGTTTGGAGGGCTGAGATATCTTGCGCAGGCTGAGAACGGAACAACGTCAACAACTGAAAAACCGCAGCTAACGAAGGAGGCGACTGGCGAGTGTTGCAGCTTTGCAGGCGCTCCCGGGCCGGTGCATGACAGCGACACCACAGCCCCTTTCCAGACTGCGCCTGCCCCGTCCCCATCTCTTGTACCAGGGCGCACACATCGCGCTCACCGGCACCCACACCCACACCCACGCCCATCC